TGATATCAGATCTGAGATCAATACCAGTAATCTCGTGTGTGGGAAATTAACGTCTCCTACCCCAACCCTGCAGGAGACGGGACCTCCATTTATTCGTCCCTATCCGAGAAGACTAAAATATCTAACCATTTCTTGATGTTATAGAAAGGCGGCAAATTCTTCTCAATTATTTTAAGACCTTGAGTGTTGGTCCGGCCGGGGCTCGAACTCTCGACCTCCTGCACAACAGTCCAGTGCTCTATCCATTGAGCTAACCGTAGAGAACGCTACAGAGAATATGCATTCTGATGTTAGAATATCAAGGGTTTAATGGGTCCCATATTTGTCTCCACTCTATATTGTTTACTGTTAGTAATGATATTTAAAATGTAGCATGGGCTTTAGATCTTATAAATCAATTTAGTGTAACTGATTTGTACAGTTTAAATGTCTGTTCAAACTCAGTATTTTCCTCTTGACTTGATGCAAGGATAGGAGAAATTTGAATACTGTAATTACTTTCTTCATCAAGTCTACATTTATGTCGAACTCTTTTGAATAAGTCATTATCGCAGGAGTTGATTGCTTGTTAAATTCTTCCAATTGAAGTTTAACATTTTTTCTTGGTTGGAAGCAATAACTCCCTGTAGACACAAACAGAAATGGTTGAAGTGTGGGTTTCAGTAAGATGTAGTAATTTTCTTTAGGGAGGGGGTAAAATTAATGTGTAGGTTTTTTTTTTTTTTTTTAAGTATGTTCTCAAAATAGTATGGTGTTATTTATTTGAAGCACCTGCTGAAAAAGTGTAGAAATTAACTTTTACTGATAGTTTGTACAGTTCCATTGGCATGGTTGCTATTTTCTTTATTTAAACTTGTCCCAATTTCACTGAAAGTAAAAAGAACAATGATAATAAAAAAAGTTTCCCCCATGACAGCAGTAGTCCTGAAGTTAATTTTCGAAAAGTGTCTTTAGGCTTTCCCAGCATGTGTCTCAACATTTTGGTTATTGTTTTGACCCACTAGCCACTAAATATTACAAACAATTGATTGCTCAGCAGGGTTTCTGCTGGCTGTGCACATTTTATAGAATAATTGATCAGTACAGATTTCTCCACTTTCTCTTTTTAACCTCATATGCATATTTATAAGGAGCAACCTTTGCAGGTGATGTTGGTTAAATGAACAAACATCACTTTGGATGAGTTTGATGTGCACCAAAGATTATTGTGTTCATTTGATTTTATAGTGATGACCTTCTCAAGACATGTGGTGTTGTGTTATGTGTATCATATGATCTTTCTTCATATTAGATCATCCACCAGTTAAGCTCAATACATTTTGTATCTTCTCATGTTTCTCTCAACATTGTAAGAAATACGGTATTGTACAGACCTTTATTTATTTTTTGAGATGTAATGTTTTATTTTTGCTGCTTTGTGCATAATCAGATGAGTCATGTGTGTTGCTTCACCTTCAACATTAATGTTGAAACTTACTAGATATAATCTTTAATCCTCTTACAGTGGTGACATTTTTAGCATGAAAAGAAGTGATTTTTTTCTAAGTGGGCGTTTTTGTAATATCCACATCATGTAAGTAATATTTGAAGAGGTATTTTGTTCATGTTATCTGCATCTGAGAGCAAAACTCTGAATTTCACAATAGGTAGAGAGATTGAGATTTTTCTGCTTGGTGAAGAATTTTAAATCTTGGTTTCAGCATAGTGAGAATGACAGATTAGTTATAATAGTAACTGTAGTCTGTTTATATTTTATTGCATGACAGCAAAATACATGGCTTGTACCATTTGATTGTTGGTATCACTAAGCCACAGATCAAGTTCATGTTACTTTCAATTTTGGTTCAATTCTATGCTTAGTTTAAATTTTGTATTTTATTGTTACAAATTCATTTTCACACATTATCACTCTTGAAATCAAAGTACATGTATAATGAAAATTGAACATAAGCTGTTACTTATACTCTACCATGAAATGTCTGTGTATGGTGAGCAACTCATGTTGATATATTCTGTAAAGTAGAGTTTATATGTACAAGTCTGTGAGTTAGAAAATATTTGATCTTGAACTAATACTTATTAGTATAATTTCAGAGCTGAGCAAAGAGTTTCCAGCGATCTGATTGGTCGAGTGGTTCCTTATATGACGCTATATAAACTGCTCCCCGCGGTTTATATAAAATGTTAAAATAAAATGTTAATAAATGTTACTAAAATGTTATGATTTTAGAAATTTCTCTGTTGTTCAGCTCTGAAATTATACTAAAACAATTATTCACCTCAGGTTCGGTGAATATTGTCAAATAATCCCCTCAACTCTGTCTGAGGGATTATTCGACGATATTCACTTCACCTTCGGCAAATAATTGTTAAATATAATTAATAATGGTAATGGAATGAGTGGAGTCCAATTTGGTCTGTTATTGTACTAGCGATAATCAAAATTGGATGATCACAAAGCAGGAGTCTGATTGGTTAGTCACTAGTATGATTACAGACAGAATCCGATGACGTGAATTCCTGTTACCAATTAACCAAAACTATGACAAAATTTAAACAGTTAACCAGGACTTCACACTAACTTTTCAACTTACTAGCCAAGCTGCCAGTGACAACTTAGATGTTACAACAATTTTAGTTTCTTTACTAGCCAAACTGGTGAGTGGAAATCGAAAACCACTGGCCAAAACTGAATTTCTACTAGTGAATGTGGCTATTTGGCTACTGTTAGTGTCAAGCCTTGGTTAACTCTGCAAAATGCGTGATAACAGAGCTTGCACATGATGCATACTGTCCACTTACACAGGCATGACATGACGTGTTAACTGTACCTTTAACTGTTGTATTACACCGTCCAATTACAAGCATGAGGCATAGGCTGGTGATAGCCAATCGGGTTCCAGAATTTTTATTATAGTTTTTATGAATATCAAAAGACTTCTGGTGGGTTAAATAGAGGTACATGCACCTATTCTTGACAAGAGCAGAACAGAGTTCATTTGTAAAAGCAGAGGCCACATCTCACTATTCCTAGCTTTTTCTCTTTCTTCCATCTCTCCTTTTGATGTACAGTGTGTATGTCAAAGCGCCTATTATCAAGATGTTGACTTGAAAACCACTCTCATGTTGTTTCTAGTGATTTATATAGCTGATTGCTAATTGAATCATTTTGTAAATAATGTGCATTAATGCATTTACCTCAAGCTGACAGTGAAATGAATTATTTGTTGATGATTTTTACATGGTATTACAATAAAGATCTCCTAGTTAGTACGTGGGCTGTGATTGTTCAGTTTAGTGGGTCGTATTTCACAGTATGACCCACTAAAATCTAGTTTGTTTGAATTAAAATCTTCCCCCTCTATATGAACCAAGAGGAAAAATATTAAATATCCTACTGACCTTTTTTCTGGGTCCATAATCTACAGCAAAGACCTTGAACTCGGTTTGTAAGATGTATTTCACCATGTCTCTAATTTTAATTTGTTTTGATCGTAGTATAAGCTTAGATGATGATCACATGATTGTGTAATGAGTTTAATATTTCATTTCAGACTGCCCTGACATCGCTGGAGGGTCTCACAAAATTTATCGACCTCGATCAGCTAACTTCAGATCTGGGAGGTACCTTTAAGTATGATCATTCCAAGTGGATCAACATGCGAATGGTGAGTCACCGACTTTTGCCCATGGGTTAGAATCTCACCAACCAACCAGTCTGCCAATCTCTTCATTAGTTGGCGATGCCTGTCATCAATTAGTGATGTTTTGATGTTGTGTGTCTTTATCGTGGGCATCTGTTTGCTTTGTGAATTTCTAGATGTTATTGAATATTGTAGGACGGTGTATTTCTGGAACGTATTCAGGGCTTGACACTAATGGTAGCCCACTAGCCACAGACTAGTAGAAATTCAGTTTTGGCTGGTGGTTTTCAATTTCCACTAGCCAATTTGGCTAGTGAACAGACTGAAATTGTTGTAACATCTAAAAACATCCAAGATGTCACTAGCCATTTGGCTAGTAAGTTGAAAAGTAACTGTCGAGCCCTGGACTGTTCCCAACTTTGAGCAGAAATTCTCTCCTTTCTCATCACTGGTTGGCTTGGCAAATTCATGGTACTGAAAACTATGTTATTTTCATTACAAGAGTTTTCAAAAAGATATCACAAGAGATGAAGAGTTTCAAAAATGTTGCTAGTCATTGCATCTTAAAAAATGTTTTGATTTTCTCCTTTGTGTTTCTAAGATATTCTGTTATCGTTATTGTGAATAAACAAGATATGAATGAAATTAATGAAAAATCATTGGAATAATTATTTGTCTAGTTTTTGGCTGATCAAATTGAAATATTTTTTCATGAAAAGGTCCAATTTTCTTCTTGATTCATAAGGGTATACAAGTTTACCGTCTACTGTTATCTATTTGTACTTGAATTTACATTTATGCTTAAAATGTAAAGAAATTTGACTGAATTTCTGTTGCAATACTGATAAATACTAAAGGGAGGTAAACTTGATATCAGATCTGAGATCAATACCACCTGTTGACACGCAGGTGAAAGGTACAATATCCTGTTTGCCTCTTCAATGGTTCTAACAACTCACAACTAAACTTCAGTACACAGTTAGCATTATTTTGGCAAAGATCTCTTTTAATTTCTCTGGTTTTAAGATAAATTCCTTCATGTTTTGTACAGGAGAAAATTGGATTGATATATCTTCCTGAAGCACTGATTTGTATTCTGTAGACTCACTTGAATTTAATTAAACAGATAAGATAAATTAATTGAATGATAGGCTGTGGCTTTCAACAAAAATATTCCTTGGTAACAGGTGAAGTGAACCTTTGGACAGCCATTGGGAAAAGAGCATTATAAAGATCTTATCTTCTTAAAATCAAATCATTTGTACCAACAAATATGATTAAAAGCATGATGGTATAATTATAGTAACAAAAATTATTCTTTCAAAACCACTATCAGTATGTTTACTGAGGTTATAAAGAAATAGAGTCATGGCGCATGAGCTTGGCTGTAGTTTAATGAAGAGTTTTGACAACATGTACAAGTTATTGCTTTTTCTCTTTCAGGCACTGGAAAAATTTCTGTACGAGGCCTCATCGTTATTAGCCAAGTTAGAAGAAATTCAAGATGGTTTAGACAAGGAAGATTTTTCTGATACTCTTGAGGGTCTCAAAGATCAAATTAAACATAATCAACATGTGAAAAAATGGATTATCAAAGCACCTGTGGAACTATTACAACAAGAGGGGGAAAAAATTCGCAGCACAATAAAAAATCCAAGCTATGAAGATTCTGAAGATAGTTTAACAGAGGATGATGTGAAGAAAGCAGAGTTACAGATACAAGAGTTAGTGGAAGGCCTGCATACCAAGAGGCAAAAGTTGAGGGAATTATGGAACTTGCGGAAGTTGAGATTGGATCAGTGCTTCCAGTACCGTGTCTTCCAACAAGATGCTGAAAAGGTAAAGACTTTTTTTTTTTCAGAGTATATTTGGAGATCTATGCAAAATATCAAATGGACTTCATGTTTGAATTCCTCATTTGCTGAAAATTCACCCTTTGGGCACACCATATTTTTCTCAAGCAACTGCTGCCTTCTTCATTTTTCCATTAAGGCGTTCCTTTGTTCTTATTGATGTGAGAATACTTTCTTATGAAAATTCAGCAATGCATGCATTAGGGCCATTGATCTTTACAGAATAAAAGGTGTGATTCAGTTCATATGTTGTAGTTGAAGATTTACTTGATTTATGTAGAAAGATCATTATCAACTGGAAGAGACTAGTAAGTAAGTGACTTCAAAACTTCAGAAAGAAGATTACCATGATTAGGCTGAGGAATACTTTTTGAAAGAAATATTCTCAATATTATTATTTCTATTGACTTTTAGCAGTAGCAATGTACTCAGTGATGTAATCACATGCAACAAAAACAACCAACTGGCTCCTGCCTTGTAATTTTTTTTCACTTTTCACTGAATTCAACTGCATTAAGATTTGTACTGAGTCCTTTTGTGGCTCATCAAATGTATTTCTTGGTTTATGCCTTATTGTAGAACTTGAGATGTGTATTTTTCTCACAAAAATGTGTTTAATTAAAAGTACTGTGATGAAAACAACAGAGTTTATGTTCACAGACATAAAATAATCTGTTTAATGGGCCAGACTCAGAGTTATTTTAGCTTGAGCTGCTAGGCAATGACTCTCTTGAACTTTGTTGGTGCACTGGTTTGTTTTGTAGAATACAACTTTCTGCTTTTTTATGCTGTCACAGTTTTTCAATAGTCAGTTTTTTCAATAATGTGTTTGTATATAGACGTTGTGGGTGCTATAGATGCATCAGACATTTAAAAGGGGAGAAATGAAAAGTTCAACATGCACAGGCTGGCAATTTTTGTTGAACAACCATCTCCAATTCAGAAAGAAGTCATGTACAGTATATTCCTTACTGACTGCTTCGTATTTGAAATGGGATTTGGAGTGAAGGCTTTTTTGTGAAGGAAGAAAATGTAGAGAAACTGAGAATAATTAGACCCATGGGTACCAAAAACAAACTTAACAATCTTGTGATGCCAGCTTGGGGAATTACAGCCATGCTTCAGCAGTGGGAGGTAATCACTATAATCACAACATAACTGCACCATCCCTGCTGCAACTCATCTCCAATTCATAAACTGTGTCTTGTGACATCCTTACAAGACATGTTTAAATGATAAAACAACTCTATTAGGGCTTAAATGTCCTGGATAAGTGCATGTGGCCCTTGAGAGGTTAAACTTCAATTGAAGAGTATTACTTCGACGTAAAGTAGAGTACCACCATGTGACTACTCCTGATTAAAGAAATTTGCTGCAGTATTTCAGTTATTAGGTCAGGAGACATAGAGACCTACTAACTGGGTAGTTGATTGGAACAAAATTAACAGAAAACTCAATATTTTATTTGCCAGTTAGCTTCATTAGCGATTTTGTGTAAAAATGTGCACAAAAGGATCATGTTTCTCTCTACATTAGAGGCTTCTTGATTCAGGTTCAGGTTTTGTACCTGAGTGCATTTATTTGGGCAGTCAGGTTCTTCAAGAGATTCTGATTGTTGTGATAGAAATTCTGATTGTAGTGTAATCTTGAAGATTGCCTGGGGCTTAATTTTTTGTGTATTAGCCAACAGTTATCTCATGATAAGGTTGAACTTTTATTATGATTGTTGTAGGCAGTCTACAACAGTTTCTGAAGACCCCATGGTATAATGATATTAATGTCAAACACCAAAACAACAGGTTTAGAGTGAAAAGTGGTTATGGGTTTATTTGAAGCCTACCCTATGCCATTCTTCTTTGTATTTCAAAAGAAAGAAAGGAAAAAAGAATTGCTTCCTAAAAAATTCATTTTCACAGCTAAAATTGGGAGAAACATTCTTCCAAATGTGATGTCATAATTATGATATTTTAAAATACTTGAAATTTTGCTTCCTGCAGTAGAAAACATTTTCCTTTTTAAATGAAACTTGTTAGCATGAAAATATATGCTGTTGATTGAATTGAGGTTTTTTTTATCATTGCATTTGATCATAAAATTCTTCTTAGCTGTAGAAAATTATTAGGCCAGAGATAATTTACTTGATACAAACTGTTCTTTGGTGTCAGAAATTTAAATATTTTTGATTATGAGAAGATCAAAATCAAATCTCAAGAATAAATGCCACTCAGAAGATGCAGTAAATTGGCATTTTGAGGTTTTACCAATGTTTAAAAGCCCTCCTTGGCTAATTAAGTGAATCCTGTGGTTTATTTGCTTTTAGCTTGGTTTTATTTCTTAGCAGGGGATATAGTGAGTTGTGGTAGCTTGTGAGGCTTAAAACAGATGTCTTAGAACCTTTGTTTTTCTTATATTGGTTTATCAGTGCTTTGCTGATCTTGCTTTTATTCTGTCCCAAGAGTGGCATTTTCATGTGACAAAACTGTGGCATTTTGGTGTTCTATGTGTAGCTTGGGAATGGTTAACCTAAGGCTGTACAATTTTAACACTGCATGACCAACCCTTTTTAGCTGGGGCTTTAATTTATTTTTGTTTGTCATGCATAAAATGTCATGTTTGGAGTTTTTAAATCAAAATGGAGTAGGATAGATTGTGGCTTGGTAACTGATGTTGTCATTGGCTTTTATTTATAATTCCTGTGGGTCAAGCTTGATTGATTAGGATATTGCTTCTTTGAATATGAGGAAATCTGTTTTGGTTTTACAATGACAATGATTTTAATTTGTGCTTTGTGAGATCAATTTCGATGTTACCTGTGGCCTCAGCGGTTTCAATACCAAGTCTAATTTCCTTTTTTACCTCAAACCCCAGGATATTATTATCTGATCTGTCAGGATCTTGCTTCTATCCTTTGAGAATGCCGTTTATTAAACTCAATCAGCACAGAGAGATTGTCAACAAAGGACAAAAATTTGCAATTTTTCAAACACAGACAGAGCTCATTAAAAATTTATTGGCCCTAGTCTGTGATCAGACAGCTAGTCTGCAATGCAGAACAACACAGATTATTTATGGTGATTTTAGTGTGAAGAGGTTTAGGAAGCTGGAAGATTGTTGCTTCAAGGATAGAAGTGCACAATATTTACGTACCAGTTGGTTAGTAAGCAGTTAAAACCTTCTGTTTTCTTGTCAACTTATATTTAATGATTCTCACACTAAAGTTTAAACATAAGGATATCATAGGGAGGGCTGTGTTCAACCAGACTTGAGCTCTGTAACAAGATCTTTGCTCCTAAGAGATTAACTTTGATCTACAAACCTAACAGGTGTTCGAAGTATTGCATGTGGAAAAAAACTCTAACTTGAAAACTGGTAAAATTTTTGCAGCAATTTTGCAGTTTAATTTTGTTCTCTGCATGAGCCATACTTTGAGGTTATATGATTGTTACTGGTGCTAAATATTTTTTAAAGTATATTCTGCCTTCAAACCAAGCTCTCTTTTATTTTTACAAATCACACCTATTAAACCTCATGGCTGTGTAGTTAGGGGAGTTTTTGTTTACTGGGTTGAAGTGAATTAAAATTTTGTGCAAAACCATGGTAACTTAACTGTTACATCCTGTTTGCCTTAAAGTGGAAGTAGATTTACGATGCTAACCAAATGTTCATGGACTCTTTATGTTAGAATAAAATAAGAAAAATATTTTTCTTTTTATGGCTACTGCAATTTTTTTTTTAAACATCCAACAGTTGTAGTGATTACAACATCAAAGGTTTTGCACTAAAATGCAGTAGAGTAACAACTTTAAATTAAATTTTCTTGACGGGAAATTGGTCAGGTGTGATACAGAATTATGTCTTGGGAAAAAAGAGAGGCTCTTTAAGGGCTAATTCTGCTTACTCAGTCATTCATTTAGAAATGTAAATTTTATGGCAATATTTGGCTTTTTATTGGTGCTTCAATTTACCAACAGCTGCACTCATAACATTTTTAAACTGGTTAGCTTTCAGTTTGATCAGTGGTATAGTACTTTTGGACATTTCTGACATGATTTGACAAGTAGATGAGGCCATTTCATTCTGAAATTAAGTTCCTTAACTAGCCAGCTGATTTTTTTTTGTGTGTGTTCCGGATTTATAATTCCACTGAGAAATCAGTTTTTTGCTTTTTATTGCTTTCTTCCAGTTGGTCTTGTGTGTGCAGAGCAAAATGGCTCTGCTATCACAGACATAAGTGCAATATTGAAATATTATTACCACAAGGATTGGAAATTAGATTGGTTGGAGCTCATCAAGTATTATATTGAAACTGTCACTGTGGACAAATCATCCTGATGCAAAATCCAATATTCCAGCGGTGGTTTTTTCTGCCAATTTTGTCTTTCAGATGCTGGTATGGATAAGGGAGAATCATCAGGAGTTTTTACTGAATTATGCCGAAATTGGAAATGATACAACCTCTGCAGACGAACTTCAAGAGGAGCATCGAAATTTCCAGGCCAGTTGTATGGTAAGTCAAGTCTAAAGTTCTAACTAGAGGCAAAGTAATATTATCTTCAAGCAATTTAGTTGCATTTATGTTCAAAATAAGTCTGTAAAGATATTTGTATCTTATATTTCAAGAGCTTGTCTGTTTTGTAGTTGTTATAAGTGTTCAAAAAATTTTGTTGTAAGAGACCTTTAAAGGTATACCACTGTTATTCATATTTTTAACTACTGGTGTTTCATGGCTCTTGAAATTTAAAAGTTCAAATCGGATATTCCTACACATTCAAGAACATGTTTATAATTACATATAAATAATATAAGGAAATCTTAGATCATCTCTCTTGTAATCTTATTATGTTGTAGTTATAGACTTACATTCCATGGTTAGTTTAGTCTGTTCATTTTGTTTTCCAAGTTGTATTTTTATCTGTGAATCATAATTAATTTGTAGTGAATGTCAGGTATGGCATTTCAAGTGCTGCACCCAATTTAAATGTTTTCTCATTTTTCTTTTTTTGAAAAGTAGTGTGGTATTGTTTTTGCACTTGAGTGCAATATTTTTATGTTTCTAATTCAAAATTTTCTGTGGTTATTTCCTGTTTTACTAAGACAGGCAAAGCATTTTAAAGTAAACTTCCTTTGATTGGCTCAAATTGTGCCACGACAATGGAAAAATATGCTATTTTGAGTTTGCATGATGGAGGCCTACACTCCTATGACATAATATTGTAACTATGCATAATTATATTCAAATACAATCTTCTAAGCTTTTTTTTAATCATTAAAATGTAATCAAAATTTAATTCAGGTACAAGAGGCTAGGCCTATATAAACCTCTTTTGACTTCATTTATTGCCTGAAAGTAGCTGTGAAACCCATGGAAGAGGAAAAAAATGTTTTTCAGATGCAATATTTGTGGAAGGAAAAGCAATACTGTTCAACTTGACATTCATATTTATAGCTACTTTGATGAATTTAACAACAGGAATGTAAATATTTAAAAGAAGCAGGCTTGTGTAGCTTTGTTTTTAATTCTTGCATAATTATTTAAAGACTATAATTTATATTATAATGTAATTTTGCAGAGTTTTTTTATTTTTTTTACATGTTTTGGTTTCATTTCTGGTACCTGTTGGATCAGTCTCAGAAATAAACCCAGCAGTGCCAATATAACATCTCAGTTATAAGCATTTTAAGTGAAATTGTTAAGTTAATTATTTACAAGATAACATCAGATGAAATCTATCTGATAAGCCAAGGTTTATGGTTGAAGGATGCTGTCATTTTTATCAAGTGAGAAGACCCTAAATCCAGTATCATTTCAAGGTACCGGTACTTAATGGTTAAGTTACATGTATGTTGTAGAGTTACACTGCATGTCTTGTAAAATTATGGTTGAAAGTTTAACTTCAACTTGCAGTTAGCCAAAGCTAAAATTAAGGCAGGCACCACACCTGCAAAGATCTTGTCGCAGCAAGATAAAAAGTTTGCTCAAAAGTCCTAATTATGAAATTGATTTTGATGATAGTTCCAAGGATTTCATAATGGTGTTGTGGTCTCTAGATACTGGACTTTGACCCCAATAGTTACATACTTGAGACATAGTTGAAACTGGAAAAATTCAAATTTGTTACTCAGGTATACATTTACTCTTATTTGGATTCTTTTAATTAATGACTCCAAAATGACAACGCTTAAAAATTCTAAAAATGTTATTTATGGACTAGGAAGGTGTTGTCAAGGACACCAACCTTTAGTATATGTGCTCAAAAACTGTTTTTGCTTTCAAAATGAAGCAGTATTGCAGACCATGCAAGTGAACAACATTTTACTTATTAGACCAAGTTTTTTTCCTGGTATAATTATGGCCACAAATGATACTTCTCACAACACATTGCATTAAAGTCGTTCAACTCAAATTAATTCAGCCATTTCCTCTGAGCTAGTTCTGTCAATTTATAGTTTTTATCAGGATAGGTACCAGTAATATGTATTCCTTTTTTGAGATAATCTTCTTCACTGCTTGAATGTTCTCAAATGAAATTAGAATTTATAATGCACTGATAGCTTAGTTTTTGTTTTTAGTTATCACTTGTCAGCTGGGTAATGAATGCTATATGCTGCAAACAGGTGCCTCTTGTATTTCAGCTCAGTGTCTTGGCACACAGTGGGTGTTTGGGCACAGTTGTTCATAGGTATATTTAGTTGTTAGCAGGATCCAACCTTTAAACTAACTCCAAACCTTTGTATCTGGTTAGGCTCCTTCTGTTCATTAGTTTGTTTGCATTTTTGTGGAAGGAATGTTATTCTCACATTGTCTAATTAATAAAAATCAGCTGTGAAACTGACTTGATGCAGTTAGGAGAGGAAAGCGATCCCTTTAGCTCTTCCACTTCACTGTGTAGCGAGAATTAAACCCTTTATTTGTTTATGTCACACACCACAATCACCCACAGGGGTTTCAGTAACCTTTTCAATAAGCAGATGCAGATAGTGTTACAGGGGTTGTCCCGGAAAAGGGGCTGAAAGCTGTAAGGTGAAATCTAAACACAAGAGCCTGCTGGCAAGCGAAAGAGGTATCAGTTAGAGATATTGGCTGCAGTAGATCACTAGTAACTGACTTTTACTGAAACCCTTACACCTTGAAATCCTTGCACCTTGAAATCCTTTCACCTTGAAATCCTTGCACCTTGAGACCCAGGTTTACAAACTTCCACATTGTTCATTTTCGAGTGTTCCCTCACCTACACATAAATGATCAAATTTTAACTTTCTTGGGCAACTACATAACTGTTTATTTTTTTCAGGCAAAGAATGCTCAGCCAATGAAAGAAGGCTTAATTTTTCTCTTTCAAATTATTACAAAAATTTTAATTATTAAAAATTATTAAAAACCTGTCAAAAAATTGAGGTTCCATTTTATTTGTTTTAAAATTTTTTAACGCTCTCCTCCTTTATGATGAAAAGTAATTTCTAAAAAAGGGGAAAAGTGTGAAGTGGAGTTTGTAATTTTAATTTACTTTCAGCAACATAACATGTGCTTGTAAATATTAGAACCTACAATGTGTGAAGAGTATTTGAATTTAGTTTTATGGAGGCAGATGCAACTTAAAAATAACAGAGACTTTTTGCATATTTCCATCCATGGAGACCCAAAAAATAATTGGATGAGAGGAAAATACAACAGCAGTCTCATTTCAAGGCCAAAGTTTAGTTGAATCCCCAACCTGTAAAGTAAACTTTCAAGTCAAACCAAAACCATTGTTGTAGTAATTTCTTGCTATCTTATAATTTGCTTCAGGGTCTCCGAGGGTAATATTTCTCTGGGGTGAAAAAAAAAATTAAAAAAAGATTTCAAGGGAGAGATGGGAAAAAAGAATAATTTTGAACCTGACAGAAAATGGAGGTTTTGAAGAAAAATTAGATCTGATGAATTGTCAACAAATTGAAATAAATTAATAAGTTTGAGCTTACTCATATCTATTTCCTTCAATTGTGATAGGAGACCTTGCATAAACTAAGGCAAACAGTTTTTAGCATTAAAATTAAGGAAGAGTTTGAGATTGTTTTGCCCATCATAGTTAAATCCAGAGTGCTTAAAAGATGGTGCATCTCAAGTCGTGTTTAAAACTTTTCAAAATAACAAGCTGGCCTTTGATACTGTCTGCTTTTATGAAGAGTTCGGTATGTTTTCATTTTCTTCAAAGATGCAATAAAATTTGACAGATTAATTTATGATTCCTTTTTGACATGATGAGGCCCTTACTTCCTGTGATCAGAAGTTTTTTAATTACTTTTGCAAATTTACTCTGGCATATGATAACATTTGTTTGCTATGAAAGCAAATTCTGCTTAAAGAAAGAGAGTAAATAAAACACATTCTGTGGTGTACATAATTATGGCTGTACTTCATGGTGAGTTTGCATGTCACGTTACGTGCAAAAGGCTTATCCTGTTAGGTCTTAAGAACACCTGTATCATGTTTCTTTTCAATAAAATTCCCAGAAATCTTCATTTGAATTTTAAATATGAAGCTTTGTGGTCTTTTTATCAAGGGAATCCTGGCACTTCTGAGGATGTTAATAATTAAAGGGAATTCAGTGACTCATGAATGACAATATGTGACTGTGGTCTCTTATGATCCTAGGTTTGGCTCTTAGTGTTTATTGCTATTGGCAACTTTTCTTAATCTTGTTCTGATCTTGAATAAGGACAATGCTGGCTGTAGTTTTACCTGCCTTCTTGTCAGGGGATTTTTCATCCCAATCAAAAAATATATGTTCATGGAAGAACTTAAAGTTTTATCTGGCCTGAAGGAATTGGAAAGGAAAAAACGGGAATTAAAACTTCCTCATGGTAGGAATAATTGCTTAGTAATGATATAATTTTAAAAAACCAGTTTTCAGTTTGATCAGGAATGAATTGCCTAGTATTCCACAACCAGATTTATATACAGTTTTGTATATATTCCCTGGAAAATCTGTTCTAATTTCTTATACTTATACGTATAGTTGAAATAATGGTAAAAAAATATTGTGTGTAAAGCTTTCAATGACACACTGAAAATGAGAATTTCAATGTTCTCTTTTTTTAAGTTCAAATTTTTCTTTTCGAACATGAATGTTTTTTTGTTTAAATTCTCAGCTGACAGTGTTTCTGTATTTGAATGCATGTATACTACTTTGATTACATTTACTATTGCCAATAGATATGAATTTCTCCCAAATATTCAAACAATTGGTGCATTTTTAAACAGCATGAGTTAATTGAAATTGAGCATGATCCCTTTCTGATTTACCACAGATTTTAGAATTGATCTACATTTTATTACAGCTACTGTTCTTTTATATTTTTCCTATTTAAATACAGATCTTCGACAGTCAAATATTTTTTTGTGACAACCATTACATGTGACAATTGCAGTAGATGTATTTTGAATTAATTCATGCTAATTTATACAGAAATCTCTTAATGCTAACCAGAAAGCTGCAGCTGGCTTGATGTATTAAATTTCTTGCTGTT